GAAAGAAAAAAAAAAAAAGAAAAAATGCCATTTATGTAACTGTTTGGTAATATTATAATTTTTTATTATTTTAACTATATATGTGACGTCCACATTGGATTACTAACGTTATATAGTGCCACGTCAATTTTTGGGTGCCACGTAATATATTTTTTAACGGTGTCGTGACGGCCCGTTAAAATATTGGGTTTTTAACGGGTTTTGAAAAGTGGAGAGTGTGAGTAGGGAGGAAAAATTCTAGAAGGTATTGACCACGAAAAAAAATAAATAGAGGGTGCAAATAGGGGCTTTGGCCAACCAAAAAAAGGGAAACCGAAACGGAAAAGAATGATGACAGGTTTTTGTTTTTTTTGAAAGTGATTTTTGTGTTGTTTACCATTAGTATCATTATTATTATTTTTTGGTAATTATTATTGTGATATAAAATTGAAAAGTCCTCAAAATTAAAGTACGTGGTAACCATATTATATGAAAGTTGTGGGGAGCCTAACACCTTCCCCATACTTAATTGACTTTTCGACCCTAGTCAATTTTTACGTAAACTTAGGTGATTTATCCCACCTCATTTGGATAGATGGCGACTCCATCCATTTTGGCACTTCAACAAGAAGCAAACGTAAAGCAAGCCATTAAACCTATTGATGAATGCATACATGAAGAAAATTTGACTCTCACCAAAATAAAGACATCCAATATATTAAGGAAAGTTTCTTAACCTCTCTTCATTTTACTTTTATATAATCCCTTGACTATTTACTTTTATTTGGTTTCTTAGTCGTACATATTTTTATTTGATCTCTTGGCCATCTTTTCTTTCGTCTGGTCTTTTGGCTATATTTACTTATATCCAGTCTCTTGGCCATGTTTACTTATATTTGGTCTCTTGATTGTTTTTACTTTTATATGGTTCCTTGGCCGTTTTTACTTATATCCAGCCTCTTGGCCATATTATTCATATCCGGTCTCTTAGACATGTTACATATATCAAGTCTTTTGGCCATGTTTACTTTTATCGAATCTCTTAACCATTTTTACTTTTATTTAGTCCCTTGGTTGTGTTACTTATATCCAATCTCTTGGTCGTGTTACTTATATCTGGTCTATTAGTCGTTTTTACTTTTATCTGGTCCCTTGGCCGTTTTTACTTTTATCCAGTCCGTTGGCCATGTTACTTATATCTTATTTCTTGACCGTATTACTTATATTTGATCTCTTGGCCATGTTACTTATATTCGATCTCTTGGCCATGTTACTTATATTTGGTCTCTTGGCCATGTTTACTTATATCTAGTCTCTTTGTTGTGTTTACTTCTATCTGATCTCTTAGCAATATTACTTATATTCGATCTCTTGGCCATGTTACTTATATTTGGTCTCTTGGCCATGTTTACTTCTATCTGATCACTTAGCAATATTACTTATATTCGATCTTTTGGCCGTGTTACTTATATCCAATTTCTTTGCCATGTTTTCTTATATCTAGTCTCTTGGTCATGTTTACTTTTATTTGATCCTCACCTGTGTTACTTATATCCAGTTTCTTGGTCGTGTTTACTTTTATTTGATCTCTCACCTGTGTTACTTATATCCAATTTCTTGGCTAGTTTTTACTTTTATTTGGTTCCTTGGCTATTTTTAGTTATATCCAATCTCTTGGCTGCGTTACTTATATCTAGTCTCTTGGCCATTGTTACTTATATCTGATCTCTTTGCCATGTTTACTTATATCCAATCTCTTGGCTGTGCTACTTATATCTGGTCTCTTTGCCATGTTTATTTATATCTGATCCCTTGGCCATGTTAGTTATATTCAGTCTCTTAGCCATGTTTACTTTTATTCAGTCGATGGTTGTGTTTACTTTTATTTGGTCTCTTAGCTGTGCTTTCTTTTATTCGGTCTCTTGTTCATTTTTACTTTCATCCGGTTCCTTGGCCATTTTTACTTATATTTGGTCTTTTGACCGTGTTCCTTATATCCGGTCTCTTGGCCATGTTACTTGTATCTGATCTCTTGGTCGTGTTTACTTTTATCTAATCTCTTTGTTGTGTTTACTTTTATCTAGTCTTTTGGCCGTGTTAACTTTTATCTAATCCCTTGGCTGCCGTTTTTACTTTTATCTAGTCTCTTTAGTCCCTTGACCATTTACTGTCTCTTGACTATATTGCTGTTGCTAGATCTCTTGGTCTCTTCACCTTTACTGGGTCTCTTGACCCATTTACCTTCGCCGGATCTCTTGACCCTTTTACCTTTACTGGAGTCCCTAGACCCCGTTTCGTTACTTTGAGTCATACATCGCCATGAACTCTTTTCCACTTTTAAGTCTTCCCCACTTTGCGTCATGCATGGTCATAAAAAAAAAAAAAAAATTGGCAGTGCATTTTACCTTTTAAGTAATAAAATAGTGAAAATTTCTTGCATTTTTAAATTGTTTCATAGAACACTTTCTTCTTTAAGTCATGCCATAGAGTACTCTCTCTTTTCTTATTCACCTTCAAAATTTTGACTTACCCTTTGTCTTTTCTCTTCGTTCCGAATGGAAAGAAAAGAAAAGGTAGGCAATTATTATAACTTAAATTTTTGTTAAAAATATATTTTAATTACATAGTGAATAGATTAAATTTTGCCTTAA